GGGATCGGATATTTTTTATAATAGATCATGGCAATGATTTTTCAGGCCTTTTCTTCAGTGAGAATAAGTAATGATTAATATTGGCTACATCTACTAAAATGGGATGGAGAAGTGTTGAAAAATATTAAATACGATGGTGTACGTCAGGATACGTGGATTTCTTGTGTATCCGCAGGATCCATCATTTAATAAATACATGCTTTCACAGCTTGCAAATAAACTAACATTAAGTTAAACTAACAGAAAGTTAAGAAATGGGTGATGGTTCCCAGTGGTTAGGTTGGTGACTGGCTGATCACTGAAATAGCAAAAAGTTTAAATGTCGGCAACTGACAGACAACTGCCCGACTTGCTGCACAGGCAATTTTTGACGCGGGCAGTTATGAGTCACCCCGGGTGAGTCACAGGTCACTGATAACGGACAATAGATCCCCAAGATCGGAATGTAAGCCAACCAAGCAGATATTGGAGCGGACAAACTAGATTGCTTCTAGGATTGTTCGTTTAACATATATATATATATATTTATACAATTTTCTTTTTTTCTCTTGTACCCCCCTCGAATAGCCTTCGCTAATTGCGGGCACAAGCTTTGTAAGCTATATTTAATTTGAAATAAACTTGTTGTCGTTGTTGTTGTTGTTGTTGTTGTTGTAATTTGATGGTCACGATAGGGGTTAATGCCCGGGGGGACTCCGCATATGAAAGGGGTGGGGATGCTCGTCGGAAATTTTGAATTAAACCCCTAAAGGAGACCGATCTGGGCGTGGCCCAAGCTTTTTTTGACCCCTTAAAGAAACCATGTTAAAACACAGACAATATATATACCTTTATACTTTTTCGCGTTCTACCCTGAACGAGACCTTCACAACTAAATATGATGGCGTTTTGCCCAGAACATCCTAAGTGAGAGCAAAATCCGAAATTTACACCCTTAAGTGAGACGACGAGCATCCCCACCTCTTTCATATACGGAGTACCTCCCCCCCCCCGGCGCGCCCCCCCTTGAGGTTTTTAAGGCAGCGTAAACTATAAATTTCTGTACAGGAATTTATCTATGGTAATTGAATAAAGAGCCCCTAGGTAAATACTGAGGGAAAATCACCGAAAGGTATGGTGATGCTCAAATTACAACGTCAATATATAAATGCGACCATATTCCTAAGCTTGCGCAGCCTGTGATTGGAAATAAAAGGAGAGTATAGTGATACTTTTACTCGCCAGTCTAGCCTGCGTCGCTGACACTATTAACCCTCTGTATCTCCAATCTAACAAGCATGGACTGACAAGTTCTTAATTCGACTGAGAACTTGAGGTACTTTCCATGGCCAAATTGTTGAAGTCAACTTTCCTGCTTCTCGAATGGCCGAAACACTTGATGTTGCGGAAGAGCTTGGCAATGGCCTTCCTGAAATTCTCAAATCGCCACGCATAAACAAACGGATTCACGCCAGAATTAGCCAAAATCAAAAGAAAGTGGGCATCTCTTGCCCAGTGAATAAAATTACAGCTGCACGTTGAACAAAGATTGGTGATGTAAATACAAACACAAGAAGGAAGATAACATGCCAAAAATAAGGCAAGCATTATCATAAATGTCTTGGTTACTTTCTGTTCCCATCTTATGGCCTGTCTCTTGGCTTGACTGTCAGAGTTCGCGTGATCCAACGAGTCCCACTGTTTAACCTGATCCCTAAACACGCGAAATATTTTCACGTAAGTCAATAACATAACCAGAAACGTAGCGATAATCACAGTATGAAGGAAGACAAACGAGTACGTCAAGTATCCAGTGAGGAGGTATATAAAGGGAAAGCTAAGCGAGAAGGCCCAAATCCCCGCAGCCACAAATGCAGTTCGCTTAGCACTCAGTTTTACTCTGTAAGAAAGTGGAGATGTTATTGCCCAAAAGCGATCCACTGTCAAAGCAGCCAGACTGAGCACGGAGGCTGTGGACGAAACAAAGTACGGAATGTGGATGTACACCAGTTCAGTCGGGTACTTCTTCGCAATTCCTTCGCTTAAATGAAACGCTACCGACAATGGATCCACTACAAATCCCACCAGAAGATCAGCGAAGGCTAAGTTCGCAACAAAGTAGTTAAACGGCGATTTGAGATCTCTGTTCGGGTCAATGAAGATGGCTAAGACGACGAGAATGTTTCCAGTCATGGTCACTAAACTCATGACGACAGATACTGTCGCGGTGGTATACGAAATGTAACTCGGTGGAATGGTCTCATTGATGCATGGGTATTCACCAAACAAAGACATCCTTTAAACGAAAAATGTTCACTTACAACGACTTTACCGTGGTCTGACTTCCTGTGCAATAATGCTGCAAGTCGTGATGTATTTCATACATGGCCAATCGATTTTCACATGACGTCACTAAAACTATCGATCCTACCGAGATTTCACTTTCATGGTGTATTAGAGCAGCTGAAAACTAATTTTCAAACAAATTTTCGCTCTAAAAGGTTTCTTGATTTTGTAGTAGAGTACCAGCAATAGAGGCAAGCCCCTCTTTTAACTTAGTTCAGGCTGTGGAGTGTCCCAAAATCTAGAGTTGTGTAATGATTGGTGAATTATCCGTTCCGTTTCAAAAGACCAAAATTCTCGTCAAGATTCATTGAAGATTGAGCAATTTTACATCCATCACCGGAAACAAGAGAGAATGAGCTAGATCATCCTCTTATCTCTTGCCGGAAATGATATGACAACATATGAAGAATAGAACGACGACCGAGAGAAGCTGGGCCTTGTTGTACCCAGCACTTTCAAAATGGCGGGTTTTTAGCAATACGGAAACCGTTCCGTTCCTTGTTTGCTTCTCGATTTTCTTGTGTAATGTTTGATTTTGTTGTCTGTAATGGGATTCCAGCTCGTATAAAAGTTTCCAAAGAGGATGGAGGGATCTGAACTTCGTCAAATACGCGTTGTAAACAACGACATTTCTTTTGGAAAAACCCAGGAAGATGAAGAGACGGTACACAAAACTAATTAAAGCTTGTCAAGTTTGCTTTCAATTGTGACAGGCTTAAAATTATAAACACCTTTCGTGCTTTTGAGAACCAGTACTAGTGTCTTTCGAGATCAAACTTCAAAAAATATTTTGCAGTTAATTTAAAAACTGTTGCACTGGCTACCTGCGGGTTTAATAATAGGTTTAATACCACAGTGGATGGATGACTTCTTGCTTTTTTGTTGTTTTTTTTTAGCATTTTGTGTTCGATGTTTTTATATGAAGTGTGTGTTGTTAGCCATGGGGTGGTTTTGTAACTGTACTTGTGTTAAGTTGGGGAGAGTGGGTTTTGCATTATGAGTAAGGTGAAATGTATGTACTGTTGCTGTGGTTAATTTTTTTTACCTTGATGCAAATGTTTCTTCCTTTGTATTTGGGTATGGTTATGTACATTGTACAGAATAACATGTAATTTAAAATACAGAATAATCAATAAAATAGAAACACATGATAGAGTTGTGTATAGGTATCTTTGATCTGTTTACCACTCAATTATTTGCTGAAGTTCCTTTTTCTTGTATTATTGTTAACAGCTGCAGTTACATGACTTGCACTATACAGGGGATTCGACCTTCCTTCCAGGACCCTGTCAGCACAACAAAAAATTTGCGTGTGTTTTTCTTCCGTGTGCTGTGCCACTGTTTTACATTGGAGGAGAATTGTATGTATATTTATCTAAATATTTTGACACTAGTACTAAGTCCCAAGGAGGGGAGGGGGGGGGGGTAACCCCCATAAGCTTTATATTAAAAATGTCTTCTTAGCACATTAGTTTATAAGATAGGTTTTAAAATGTTATTCTTGTTGTTTACAGGTTGTTTGGATCAGCAGTTTTTTGTCTTCTGATAACATATCTCGTAGACAACACCTCGAAGAGTAAACAAAGGTACATGATATATAAGAACAGCAGAACTTTTTTTACGGTTATATTCACTTGTCTTACAAGGCACATTATGCTTGATTATCCATGTTTAATACAAATTATGTGATAAAAAAGAAACCAATTAGACTAGAGTAGCATGCAAGTACACTAAATATAATAATTATTATTATTAACTAAAGAGTTGCTTTATCGTGTCACAATGATTTTTAGAGTAAACAAAGACTCAATTCCAACGATAGAAAAACTTACCCTCATTATACACAAGCTTTCGATTCGATCGCAGAATAATTATGCATGCTAATAATCATTCACTAATAAATTAAATATTCAGATCAAATTTGTTTTTGTATTTTACTGTACGTTTAAAATTGGCCTTGTTTTTAAAAAGCCAACTATAGTTGTCTCCTGCCAGCTGGGGTTTTTATCCTGTTATGTTTTGATTAATATTTTGTATCACCTGTCTCAAACTATTTAAGTGAAGAGCCTGAAGGCAAAGCTCTTTTTTTACATTTCAAACAAAGCCATAGTCCTGTTTACTTTAAGCTCAATTTTTACTGTCTATTGTAATTTAGGTAAAAAAAAAAATCATGAAAATTTATAATTATATTGCCTTTTTATTTTCAGTTCTCTGGTTGCCTATGTTCTTTCAGTGCTAATTTTCCAGTTAACGTCTGTGTATTGTCTTGTTCCATTTCTTTGGTAAGTTTGATAGCCACTTGTACAGGTTGCCAGTATTTAGTCTTGCATGCATGCAAAAAGTTTTGTACAGAATGATTCATTTAAAAATTGTTTGTGTTACATAAAATTAAACAAAAAAATCAGAAATTATTAAATATTATTTTCTCTGGTTTGTCTCAGGAAATCGGTGTTTAATCTGGGTCTCATATTTATTTACAATGTATTTATTGTGCTGTCAGGTAAGATTGAATTTTCTTTTTTATGAACTTTTGCAGATTTATTTATTTTTAAGTAATTACACTGTATTAATACACTCTCTTTATAAACATGACATAATATTGCCTCCAGTTGAACATTAAGAAATCTAATCATAGAAGAGTATGACTGCTTAATTTTTAAAGACTACAACCACATTATACTGTCTTATAGGTGGGGTTGGTTTTCTTCAGTTCAAGCAATTACAGAGTGAAGAGCCTGAATTTGTTAAGGTATAAGAGCAAATTCTTTTGGAGTATGTAATGTGAAGTATGGAGTATACATATGTACCATGTGGCACAAGATCTGCGGGTTCTAATTTTTGTGATTTTTCCAGCAATCCGCAAAAATAAGTTCCTGCAAATAACAATTACCGCAAACATTTTTCACTCAAAAATTTACTCCAGAGTAAATATTCTCTAACTTGAATTCGCTACACAAAAATACAGTACTAAGAAATTGTGTCTGTTCAATTACAACTTTTACTTGCCTCTTTCATTCAGAAAGAAGACGGTATACAATGAATGACTGGTTTTACATAGGGTACGCATGCCGTAGTACTATTTCTATTGTACGTACGCAACAAAAACAAAAATATTATCAATGCTGGGTACTGGGTACTTTCTGAATATCGCAAAAATTAATTCCCATCGCGAAAAACCAATCTGTCCTAATCTCAAAAATTAGTTCCCGCAAAAAACAAAAAATCGCCAATCCACAAGAATAAACTCCCACAAAAATTTCATGGCATACGGTATAGGCAGACACCCACAGGACACCTCTGCTGGCTTAAGCCATTTGTCCACTAAATACAGGGTGTCTGCTTAATACTGGTCTTGCTGTAAAAAGGTATAAATCAATTTATCTGTGAGATCTAAGGTTTTAATTTTCTAGATCCATATTGCAAAACATAAAAGGAACCTATTCTACAGAAACAGGGGCAAACTACTTGTTCTCTCAAGACATTTTGACATCATTTTGTATTTTTCACATCACCAACACTTCCCTGGTCATGTAACAGTCGACTGATCAACACTGTCAAATTCTTATTTATATGTACACTGTTATTTTCTTTTCATTCAGAACATGGAATATGTCCTATATATTAGTTATCCAATCGTTGGCCAGTTGACCTTGACTGCAGTGGCAGGAAATGTTTTCAGCTGGGCTGTGTCTCCTTTCTTTTGTATTTTATTTGGGTATGTACCAGTCTAAATTATATGTAAAACGAAGTATAATTATCACATATAGCGCTGTTTAGATGAACAGGAAGGAATTTTTATCTGAAGTGATTTTAAAGTACTTCTAAAAGCAAAGAAAATTAAAAGTCAAGCTAGCTGGAAACTTTTTGGAATGATCAAAACGTATTTGAATCACAACCTACATTCAATAATATGCCTTTTTTTTTTTAATTTTTCAGATTTCTTTTTCTTCAAATTTTTTATCCACCAAGTAAATCATCCTTTTCCTACCAGAGATTTGTTCATAGAGCAGGGGAAGAAAGACCTCCTGAAAGTAAGGATAATGACTGATTAAATTTGCACACATCACATGCTGATGTCATTATTCTCTAAATATATCCTGAATACACTCTAAAGAGCCTCAGAGGTTAATAATAAGAAGAATGTCTAATGGGTATTCAAGGAGGGAGTGGCTTCAAGTCCCTTTAAGGAATCAATTAATATCATTGTCTTAATTACCTCGGTGCCATCTTCACAACACTACAGATAAAAGTAAATAATAATGTTCCTCTTACTGACATAGATTTTTACTTTGTTTACTTTTAGGTTTTATTCTCAGCAGTCTCGAAAAGACACTATTACTTTTCAGCCTAATTTCTGTGCCTGGTTCTATGTTTATTGTTATCAATTTTTTGGATCTCATTCATTTTACTACTTGGGTAGGTACTTTGTATGCATAGTTTGCTGATAGTGCTAGAGTTTTAATTGCTTTTCACTACTGCTAGAAATCATTTACTCTTGAATTGGGCCTTTTAATAAGCCTTTGAAAACAGTCAACATTTTGTGATGCCACCAATGGTTGCCCCACAAGTGACATCTGAGGAATGAATGTACAAATTCCTTACTGATGATACCACCAAGGTACAGGTGCTAGGTATAAGTGCTTCTCATTAGATAAAGCAAGTTTTCAACAGTTTAAAACTTAGTAATTAGTATAATTATTATACTAATCAGAACCACTACCCAGATCTGGGTCATGATGTGCCATCAGTATGGAATTTCTTTTGCTGGTTCTTTAGTTATATTTTGTGGGAAAAGTAATGGTGAAGTTGCAATTTGTCGGTTGTTTAATTAGGCTACCTGATTTAAAAATTGTTAAGACTCAATAGTTCACCAGTTATTTGATGTCCTAACAGGTGAAACTACTGTTATGTGGCATTCTTCCTGTCTTTCTTTGTACATGTCTGGACATCAAAGAAGAGATGGAATTCTTAGGTGAGTTCAATATTATTAGTCTCCTGTGTAACCTTCTTTGTGTTTTAAGTTGTGCAAAACTGCAGCTCTTCTTGCTTGGTACAGAGAATTGCTGGGTTACTAGGTGACCTTTATTGCGGACTGAGCAAACAGTGTATAGATGAAGGTGCTTAAGGTTGTTTCTATGTACAGCTAACTAAATGTAAATAAAATTATCATATTTTACTTTTTCTTTTTTGATTAAGGCATTGAAGAATGTTGATCAAAATTTTACAATCACTTTTCAAACAGTTATGATTTGATATTTTTTACTTTGACTTTCCCCAGAATTATCCAAAGATAATGTAGCTAAAGTAAAATTAGGATGTGGCCTGGGAAGTATGGTAAGAAACAGTCTGTTTGGCTTTTTTAATATACAAACATACTGCATTCAAGTTGAAAACTGAAGTTGCATTATTTTGAATGGAACTTTTGAGTATCTCAGTCTGTTAAACTGATACAGTTTAAACTTGTACCAGTACTGTATATATTCTCTTTTTGCCCTTATATCTGTGTACATGTATAGACATCGTGCAGTGTTTCACCTACTATTCAGTGTTTTTCCTTCATCCCAAGAGCGTAAAATGTTTTATAATCACTGCTGCAGCAGCAATATACCACTCTCACTCAACCTCTTGTGTTGGTCTGTTTCATAACTTTCAGATCCTGTTGAGTGTCATATTAATGTTGTCTGGCTCTGTTGGTGTGCAAACGTTCCCACTTATGATCGGGAACATGACTTGTGGGGTACTTATTTGGATCATAAATAGTCGAGAAAAGTGGAAGGTATGTTCTCCTTTCCGGTAGTTTCAAAACTGTTTTGGTTGTGCACATCATAGGTCAGTAAGAGAAAACAGGCTTCTAGTATTATTGTCTTCATTGTACTATTCTTTTAAGAGAGAAGCAAGTGTTTGACCTGAGAAATACATGGAGCTTCAGATCATAAAATATTATACTCAAGTATCTTGAGGCCTGTTTATTCGTATATGACTATGTTTGTTCATAGTTTTCACTTCAAGGTCCTTAACATTTCCATGATTATAATACTGCATGAGAAATTTCTGCAATTAGATTGGCTTAGAGGAGTGGTATTTCAGCTTAATTTGAAATACCTACATGTGAAAATTACTTGTAAACCTTTTGCTGGTAGTAGTATAAACAATTAATAGCATGATTTGTAGTGATATTTGGCATAAATACCACTCGTGATATTTCAAAATTGTCTCAAATTTCACTCGCCTAATGGCTCGTGAAATTACATATAACAATTTTGAAATACCACTCGTGGTATTTATGCCAAAGATCACTACAAATCATGCTATTACCTATACAGATACTCTTCACTGCTGAAGTAACCCAGCTTATAATGCATGGTATGCATTTATTGCATATTATTTATTTTTTTACAAACATTCTGCCAATGGCTGACATTTCCTGACACATGACATTCTGTATTGCAGGTTTACCAGTTTATGCCATATGTAGGGCTCATTATTCTGACCTCCCTTGGACTGTTTACAATGCCATGGTCACTTTTGTATCCTTAATGACCTGCATCATTAAAATCTTTGGTAGATAATAAATTAGACAAAATTCAATTGAATGCTAGTGGTGTTAGTATTTTGCTAAGGGCCCCATGAACTTTTTCATTTAAAATGTGAGGCCTTGGCCTGAAGAGTGATTGAGGCTTGTATATTTTTATGTTTTGTGTCTTTAGTGTTAAATTTTCTGACAAGCAATTTATTTCCCCTCATTCTTAAAGGGAAGTCCTCCTGCTGCCTGCTGGGGCAATCCATTAGTTTTTACAGCTAATAACCTTTGGTTTTTGTTGTTGTTGTTGTTGTTGTTTTTATAGGATCTTTTTCATTTTTGTTTTTTTCCATCTGAACGGCACAGGAAAAACCCATTTTTATTTTGATGGGTGTCTGTTTTAGCGTGCCTATTTTCAGTTTTCCTTTCAAAAAAATTTACAACAGGCTTTTCAAGTCTCTGTTGACTGTAGTGATCAGGAAATCAGCCTTTCGTAGGGCTGCCTGTGCAATCAAGTGGGAAGTGGAGTGTCCAATATTATGTCTTTTTTTTAAATCCTCAGTGCTATCTGTGATTTAAGGCCCTTGACATATACATCAGTCATCCATTCCATTTCTTCTCTCTACCATTGTGGGGAGTAAATGTGCTTCTTTGCTTTGTTAGTTGTCTTTCAGTGTTATGTGTTTTTGTTGCTTCTAGTGGAGCTTATACTGAATGGTTAAACCCTCTTTTGGTGATTCACTCATCAGGTAAGGCACTCCTCAACCTTATCATAAGATTTTTTGTTGTCTTATATAATTTTTAAAAAGATAGCACCTTACTGACAGATTACTGACAAATCACCAACAGTTGGGTAATAGCTAAGAAATGCATTAAGGGAGGATCGAAGCTCAGTAGATGACTGACCGTTCACCAACTTAGAATGAAAATGATGTGTGTGTTGGCTGGCCAACTGTTGTTCAACTGTCAGTGAACTGTCAGTAGACAGTCAGTTGTGTGGCATTGCTCTTCACAATTATCTCTTAATTGCAGGTTTTGTATTGTCTGAAAATATTCTTGCAACAGAGAAGCTCTATCCGAGTTACTTTTTATTGGGAACTATGCTTTTTGCTGGTTACATCTCTGAAAGGTACTGCACATTGTATGACTGTAAAATACTCTGATTGTCTTTAGGTCTGAGAACAAGTATGTGTGTTTGCATAAAAAATGAAAAAGATTCTTGCTCCTCTTATGGAAGATTGCCGTGACTTTAAGGAGCGATTGATTTGTAAACTGTGCCAAACATGTAAGGGAAGCTAAATCTGGATGATTCATGGGTGGGAAGGTGGGGGAAAGTTAACACCTTCAGTAGTAAAGGACACTGGGGTTCTTCCTGAAAAAAAAAAAAACAATCTTATTATTGGTAGATGGACATTATAAACCAACCTACATGTTTACATAGCTGTCACAAAGCTTTTACTGCTGTAAGAGAAAGGGAGAGAGACATTCATTTTGCAGTGGGTGTAATTAGCAGGTGCCCAGGTGTGTTTTCAAAGGTTCTTTAGCATAAACCCTGTCTTCTTATCATATCACATTCAGTTACGTCTGCATCATTATGTGTAAAGTAATATAGTTTATCGCAAGTATGATTGCAGACCAGATTAGATGACACAAAGTTGTGCTACCCGTATTAATCATAACTATAACAAATTTGCATGTGCGTGTGTGCTGTGCAATATTACTTAGGCATGACGCACACTGTTCCATGGCGCTGTCTTGTTAATGCTGAAAACAGGGCTGCTGATAGCCAATCAGATTTGAGAATTTTTTAAAGTTATGATCAAACCCAGTATACATTATAATAATCTAATTTACAGGCTTCACAGTGTTGGCAAGCTGAACTTACAGTCCATGTTACTCTGTATTGCTATCCATGGTTCCAAGGTACCCCTGTGTCTCTCAATGGTCCTTCCCTACTCTCCAGTAGCCGCCTCTGTATTGCTTCCCAGTCTGTTCCTGATTTCACCTTCACTTCTGATGTTTCTCTTTACGTTTGCTGTGAGCAAAGTTATTGAGGCACCAAGAGATATGACTTTGAATGAGGTAAATTTTATCCTGTGTCACAGAGTGGTGTTTTACTGATTGACATGAAGCTTTAAGGTGAAGACAGTTTTAAAAGAATGGGATTTATGCCCCTCCCTCCTTCCACCCAAGTTCCACTCCTATCTTCTGTGCTACTAACGATGCCAATGAATTGCACCTTTGCAGTCAACAGTCATTGCTTGGAATCCATTGTACAATTGCTGGAGTTTATGAAAACATTAAGAAAAAAAGCAAAGTAGAAAGGGCTTAACAATAGTTTGGAGTAGTTTTTGTTTTGTTGTTTTGTCTTGCGAGAAAAATGTCTCACATTAATACCATAGCTGTCACTATGATTCCAAGTTGTTAGGTACCGGGGTATATGCAGTTTTATTGATTAGTGCTGCATTGAACAGCTAGGAAATTCTTTTTTGTTCTTTTTTCCTTTTGCTTCCTATATAAGAAGCAGGAGGTCATGCTTAAAGGGAAATCCCCAGCCCCCAGTCCTTAGAGAACTGCCCTATATAAATACATAATATTGGAGGTATATTGAATTAATTATTTCATTCTCTCGTGTTGAAATCAATATTTCACTGCGGGCTTTCAGGATTTATCGCTTCAATACTTGTCCATTTTTACATGTTAATTCTCGATTTCTTGTTCTTGGGAGGAGACAATACCCAGGTTATTTTAATACGTAAAAAATGTGCAATCTATCACACTCTTAGATGAGAAGAAAAAAAATTACAAGTGTCATTATAGTGTGAAGAAGTCGCAATAATTAAGTGTATCATTTTCCTTCTTGTCTCCGCCAGGGCTTAAAGCTCTGCATAGTTTCAGGAATTGCTACAATTTTTGCCTACGATGTCTTAATCCTCCCACTGTGGTTCATGATGACCCATAGAATTCCTTCACTTCCTGATGTATTTGGTAAGTTTTGTTACGGTGCGAAATTGGAAGTTTAAAAACTGTAGGATATAATGATCTAAAAGGAAATAAATTTTGCTCTCGTTTATACCATCATTTGTAGAGACATGTCTGAAAGGAATGGTAAACCATTAAGTTTTGTTCACTAAAATTACAGTTATTTTTTCCTTAAAGTTACCTTTCTGGACTGAACAGCTAAATAAGAGCCATAGTAATTTATTATTTCTATTTTCCTTCTTTTCTTCTTTTACTCTATTTTACGCGCATTTAGGCGATGCCTTTGTCGGTAAAATATTGGGGTTTTGTCCTGAAAACTGTACGCGATACCAAAATCTACAGTTTACATACCCCAAACGAGACGACGAACATTCCCGCAGTAATGTGTGGTGCTCATTATTTTGTTTATCTAACATGAATGTTCTCATGAATTTTCTTTCAGCTGCAGTTCTGTTCATCTGGGGAACTTTGTGCCTCAAACTGTCTCATGTGCACTTCTCACATAATCTTTTCCTAAAGAGACTCAATGTGCTTGTCCTTTGTACCAGTGTTTTGTTGGAGATTCTTCAACCAGACTTAAACATTTACAAGGTGCGTGTACCATTTTCTCTTCTTTAATCGGAAAACCTTCTTCTTTTAATATCAAAAGTTGGTTTGCAAACTAACGTTTACAAGTAGAAGATTATCATCTTAGGTACATGTAAGATCCCTTGATATTTATACAAATTTTGCTGTTAGTGATAAAGAGTATTTCCAATCAACCGATTTTTTGAGGGAGAACAGGGGATAAGAGCCCGGAGAGTATATGGTGCGGGAGGGGTCCTGGAGGCTCAAAAGGAATGAGCGGGAGGTTGAAGCTCTAAAAGGGCGGGAGGTGGGAGAAATAGGGGGAAATTGTAAAACAATGCTAAACGTAGGAAGCCAAGAGAAAAAGGGTGGGAGTCGGGAGTGTTTATGGGAGTAGGGAGGCTTAGACCCCCCTGTCCCCTCAAGACGAGCAAAAGGAAAATCGAAGTTAGAGAAGCAACCAGAACAAATACTTTGCAGTTGAAATTATAAAACAACTTTCAAGGGAAAACGTTAGGATGTTGCACTTTTACGTAGTTGGTGAATGCAAAGTGTAAAGTGAGGGAGAATTTTGACTTGTGTATTTGCTTTACTTCTTAGGTGCTGGAAGCACTGTTTGTGTATCTGGTGTGTTTAGTCTATCCTCCAGCATTTACTATTGAAAATACGTTGCTTTCAGAGTAAGTTTTTCTGAATGTTATCATTATGATAAAGCCATTTGTCCTTATTTCTTGACTTTTCTTTTTGCTTTGTTTGTTTTTAGATCTATTGTTCTTTCCTGGTTTATTCTCATTGCACTAACAGTGTTGATAGCAGTACTTACAAAGGTGATTACCTTGGAACAGTTGTCATGGTCACAGAGAGTCGTTCTTGCTTCTGTGATTGGTGTAGTTCCTGGACTCAAAAGTTCTGCGTTGGTGAGTGTAAAAATTCTCATCTTAATCAAGCTTCTACACAACACTTCATTTAAGCGATTTGTTTACATTACTTTGGTTAACAAGTGCTTTACAGATTTAAAGGCACAGAAGACCAAATATCTTCTGTTCAGTGACTCTGTTTTAGGGGTTTGTAGTGACAAGTCATCAGTATGGAATTTCTGCGCTCGTTCCTTAA